GAAACCCCTTTTCGACTAACATACAGCACCGAGGCCGTCATCCCCGTAGAGATCAGGGAACCCTCCAGGCGGATAGAAATGCCTCTCGACGAGGAAATGAATGACGAGGCACTTAGAGACGAACTCGACCTGGTCGAGGAAATTCGATCATGGGCAGCCCTGCGTGAGGCCGCTCTAAAACAACGAGTAGCTCTGCGTCATGACGACAAGGTCATCAGACGCGAATTCCAGATCGGCAACCTGGTATTACGAAGAAACCAGAAAGACTCCCGCGAAGGAAAATTGGCCGCGAACTGGGAAGGACCCTATCACGTCCATGGCACCACAGACACCGAGGCGTATTACCTCGAGCAGCTAAACAGAGAACCGTTACCACGACCCTGGAACGCTGCTAAGCTAAAACAGTACTATAGCTAAAGCCTTTAAACACTGAGGACTTTCGTCGTCGAACACCCACCTTTAGCCAACAAAGGGAAATGTCTCGACCATGTAGACATGACGAGGTACGGGCCCGATCTACACCCAAACGACATAATGTCGTTCAACCAACGAGGTCGAACGACAATGCCCGATAGGGACACCTCGATCGAGCTCCACTGTTGAAGTACCCACATGGCAGAACACCTAGCTCACGATGGGCAGTTCACACCGTGGGAGTACGACCTTGATCTAGATCGTACGCTCGACATGCGGGCTCCACTCCGCACAACCGACGCATTTTGAAGTACGTCGAACCACCAAAGGGGTCGAAAGGATATCTCCACTCGAGGACATAACTTAAACAAAAATATTCATCACAAGAGTAACAATCAAACATTAGCCTAGACACGAGCAAGTTAAGGCGAAATAAACATCCATAAAAAAAGTTCATGCACAAGACAAGTTAATAATGAACCAACCAAGAAGGCCGACAATGTTCGAGGTTACAAGCCGTGACACAACGACCAAAAGAAATCAAGAAAGTAGCACGGGCACACAGGCCCCAAAAAATGAGCACGGGCATGCAGGCCCCAAAACAAATAAAAATCAATATGCGGGCGCGTATGCCCAAAAAAAAACTTGACGCTAAACGTCCCCAGGACTACCGGCATCTACCCCGGGAGACTCGGGAGGAGGCACGACCTGACCATCAATAATCTGAGACATGAACCCGGCTCCCTTGGTGTTCATGCCCGGATTCAGGATGAATAGCTGGCTGACCGCGACCTTGAACCCATCGGCTAGGGCACCGACACAGTCTGACTCGAGAAGGTGGATACGTGCAACCAAATATGAATGGGTTCGCAAAGAGGCTGTCTCCTCTGACTCGTCGTCAGCAGGAAGCATAACAGCTTTTAGCTCCTCGACTTCCTTGGACAAACATTCGTTGTCACTCTCCAACTGTTCCTTGTCCAATTGGAGGCAATCCCTCTCCTTAGCAACCTTTACAGACTTTTCCTTCTCCCCCGACAGCAGGTCGGCTTGCTCGCGAAACATTTCCTCGAAACACTCGAGGGCCGCCTTACGAGATTTGGCAGCAAAAGTAGCTTTCTCTAATTCCAACTCCCTAACGCGGTCTGAGGAGTCCGACCCTTCCTCGGCAAGGACCACGGCCATCTCAACCATCGTCACCATCCCGACCATGCTGGCGACGAGGTGTTTCCTCCGGCCTTCTTTGTCAAGCCGTTTAATAGTCTCGGCCTCGTTATCACTCACCGTCAGAGGAAACCCCTCGAAGAAATCCTTCTCTACAAAACATGGCGGTAAGCCGAAGGCCCGCGCAGCTACGAACTCGTCGCCAATCTCCGACCTGTTTTCAGCCCGACTTCTCTTCCTAGTAACCAGCTCAGTGGGTTGCTCGGGATCAGGAGAGCCCGAGGACCCACTAGACACATCTCCCCCCGAACTGGCTGGCAGGCCCATCCTTGTGGCTTGCGGTGCCCTCACCAGCCTCTTGTTTATCTTCTTGTCTTGGGTTAACTTCAATAACCTTTCTCGTCGTTCAACCATGTGACCTGCAAAAGGGAGCAAACCCGGGTTAGCTACAAGCGAGCAAAAACAATAAAATGGAATAAAACAATGAGAGTAGAAGCAATAAACCTAGCAGATCTACAGCCTGCCCGTAGGACTGGCACTCAACGAGTGCCTTGGTGTTGATGAGACGCGCCTCGAACGTCAGGTACCCATCCTCATCAAGAATGTCATCCCCTTCCCTTGTAACCCACCAGGAAGGGAAAAAGCTATCAATAAACTTGCAAAGGACATCATAGGCCTCCTCGTCCTCGGCGCTCATGCTCCCCGCGAGTGTATGATAGTGCCCGGTGCCATGATCGTAATGACCCGAGCACCAATGGATCTGGAACTTGGAAATATGCCCGACTGTGGGACTACCCTCAGCATCCACAAGGGGCTCCCCATCCGCGTCGACCACCACAGTTTCCGATTCGAACAAGGAGTCCAGGGCGGTTTGGGTGACCGGTTGCAGCACATACCATTTATCCTTGAAATCCCTTACCGAGTCCATATACATCCTGAACAACCTCTTCGACTGTTTTAAGGATACCCAGTTGTGCCTGCCTCCTCGAGACTGACGCTGCAGATGAAAGACCCTGAAGAAAAGGGGAATCGTCGCCCCAATTCTCAAGAAACGACACGTCATCTCGAATGCCCGAAGGAAGGCGACCGCGTTGGGGTGAAGCTGCGAAGAGGCCAGGTTCAGATGGCTAAACACCCCGACCTGAAAGTCACTAAAGGGTAGCTTATGACCGAGATCCCTGAACATGATCTCGTGCATAGGGAATGCGTACTCGGTAAACTCAAAGCAGATACGGGTGTCGATCGTCGGCCTCATTACTACAAAATTCTTTTGAAAACCTGGCTGACTGCCGCCATGCTCGATGACAGTATAAACACGCCGACTACGCCGACAGTACGCCGAAGCAATCCCCCGGGGCTCGACACCCACCCAGTCCAACGTAGGGTCATCAATGGTGTCGACTAATGTAACGTTCTCTTCCGTACTTGTTTCTTCAACGTCATTTTGCCTCGAGGATTCCAGATTATCGGCCATTTATCTGCAAAGCACATGAAACTGGTGAAATCGAGAGCAAATCTGCATGCTCGCCACAGAGGCGGGAAGAAGTACACAACAAGCCGAACACAGACACCCCAGCTCCGACCACGCATCGGGGACAGCACGAGCGTAGCATGAGCGCCCCGGGAAAATCATGAATCACTCGAGCAAGTTCCTGACTTCGCCTACCCGACACTAGGATACCGCGAGGAGACTACCCTACATACTTCCTAAAAGGATGAACATCCCGACCAAACACATGAAGATCACGAGCTATATCATGAGCTATACGCCCAAAACTATGAATCTCACGAGCAGTATCAATAATTATGTGCTTAAACTACGAATACCACGGGCAATCTGATAAAGTATGTCCCTAAACTATGAGTATCTCGGGCACAGTCATGAATCTACCGAGCATTACTTCCAAATATGTATTTCAAGTATCAAAAATAACATCAAAACTACCTACAACGAAGAAAAACAGGAGGAACAAACACTTACTTGGAAGAAAAGAGGTACGAATGACGGCGGTGAAAGTGATCAACGACGGATAGTGCGGCGGTCTCACAGCGTTACGGGAAACGACGGCAAGCGTGAAGAGGAAAAGTAAATTATGGGCCAAAGGGTCCTATTTATAGGGATGGCGTGGAATGTGAAACGTCACACCGGGGAGACACGAACTTCCCCCGTCTTTGACATCTACTCCCCTAGGCAATGATGACCCTATTTTGCTAGGGTGGCGTTACAATTCCCAAGGACTGCCCCACGTATCCGACGAACGCAACCCGCGAGAAATTATGCGAGCACGCTTCGAAAAACAAAAGCCCTGATCCAAGCGTCAGGTCCCCGCGGTGAAAGCGAGCTAAGATCAAGTCATAACTCTTGCACCAGGAGCAACGACTTGGGGGGCTCCTGTTCTGGACTAGGCCCACCTTGGCCCAAAGTGCAAATAAAGGCCCAGATCCAAGCGACTCCTCGGGGAATGCCCGCAATCAGTACATCACCAAACGTGCCCGACCACAGACTACATCTACAACGTCTGTCGTTGCCCGCGAGGAGCAGCCTCCCGACCAGGGACCTCGAGCTCGAGCCCAGATCGAGCACTCTCCCCGTAGGGCAGATTCTGTCCACTATGACCTTTATGGAATCCTCAAAGTTCCAGAAAGACCGCGTCTTTGTCCTTCCTCATTCTTCGCCGAGCACCACCAGGAAGGGGACCACGTACGGATCCCTACTACACACGTAGAACCTGACAGTTCCTTTATTGGGCCAGTTCTGGTCAGCCCAATGAGGGGACCTTGGCCCAACGCTGGGAGCTATAAATACCCTCTGTTCCAAGAGGGTCAGGTATTCATCTATCACACGCCTATACACTTTTTGCCTGCCCATTTCGTCTCTCATTTTAGCATCAGAGTGTCTTGCAGGTATCCCCCCCCCCCCCCCCCCCCCCCCCCTCACCTCACTCAAGGCCAGTCCGAGTCAGCTGTGACGGTCCAAGTCTGATCCGATAAGATCACAATCCAATCGAAAATTTCGAATACCGTATAAAAAAATAAAATATATTTGAAAAAAAACCATAAATTTTGAAAAATACACCAAAAACTTAAGAAAAAAATCAAAAAATTCAAAAATGTACCAAATTTTTGAAAAAATACTGACATTTTTGAAAAATACTAAAATTTTCAAAAAATTTAATATTTATTTAAAAAAAATTTCATTACCAAAAATTTCAGTATATTACAAATTTCCAGACTAAAATTTCAAAACATATAAGAAATTTCATTCTTTAACTTCTCTAATTTATTCAAGGGCATTTTTGACATTTAGAAAAATGGGATGACAGATATAATTTTGGTGACATAGATAATTTGTCTCGGCGGCACCATCCTACAAGAATTTCAACAAACCCTACTCTCTCACCTCTGAGCCATTCTCTGTATCTGCAATGGCGAAGAAGAAAGAGAGAAACGTTAACGTCTCAGGAAAACCGAAGCACTCTCTCGACGCCAACCGGAGTAATGACCCGAAGACGGAGTCGCGGTCCGCCGCCACAGTCCGCCGTCTCAAGATGTACAAAACCAGACCCGTTCGTAACAGTGGAGGCAAAATCCTCAGGCAAGAGTATCAATCCAAAGACCTTCCAAGCACTCGAATCAAACCCGATCGTCAATGGTTTGGTATGTTCAATTTCACCTCATATGAAGTCAATCGGGTAATTAATCGTTAAGTGCTAACTACGATTTGTGATTTTCAGGGAATACTCGTGTTGTGAATCAGAAAGAGCTTGAGTTTTTCAGAGATGAAATGGCGAAGCATAGTTCGAGTAATTATAATGTTATTCTCAAGGGCAAGAATTTGCCTATGTCGCTTCTTAATGATCACCAGAAGGTTTGTTTCTTCTGATGCTGAATTGTTGCAATGGTCTTGTGCTGAAATTTATGTATGTTTACTTGCTTATGAATTTTGAATGCAGCAATCTAGGGTTCACCTTCTTGATAGAGAGCCTTTTTCGGATGCATTTGGCCCTAAGACTAAAAGAAAACGTCCAAGCCTTTTGGCTACTGACTATGAGTCTTTAGCTAAGAAAGCCGATGGTTCTCAAGGTAGAAACCATGATTTCTCTCTGAATTGGGTTGTTTAGTTAGCATTAGCCTGAAATGAGATAAGCTAAGTTTATTTGTGCTTTTGCTTTTTTAAGGGAAAACATGTTTTACACTAAGAAATTTAGAAGAAAAGATGTGTTATTTTTTCAGAAAGTTAAAAATATCCTTAAAAATCAAATAGAAGTGTTTTTTTTAGCTTTTTTAAGTGGGAATATTTGTTTATATGTGGTATGTTTCTTTGACGGAATGATGTTGAACATTATCTGATGATTGTTGTTGATTTTTTTTCTTCCTACATTACTTTCCTCTGCAGATGCTTTTGAAGAGAAGTATGATGCATCTGCAGAAGCTAATGAAGCAGATGGATTTAGAGATTTAGTGCGGCATAACATGTTTGATAAAGGTCAAAGTAAACGTATATGGGGTGAACTCTACAAAGTGATAGATTCTTCAGATGTTGTTGTCCAGGTAGTGTTTCATGTTGCTATGATTTTGGTTAACTTTTCATGTACATATATGATGGCTGATTATGTCCTGTCAAGCATATTTGTGTGTTTCAATTCTATTAATATTATTTTGTGTGAAAAGGTTAAAAAATTATGCTTTATGACGGCCATTTCTGTTTCAAATTTGCACTGCACCTTGCTCTGCCAATGTGAAAACATTTGTGCAGTTCTGTTTCAAATCTGCAAGCCGCTGTGCTCTGCCAATGTGAAAATATTGTCTGAATTTTAGTAACATTTTTCATAGTAAAATAAGGGATAAAAGATAGAAACTTGCTACTAGTTAATTTGTTATACTTTTAAGTTCTAAATCAAATTTCATTATAGGATTGTTTCATGTTTTTTTAAGTTGATGTATTCATGGCAAGTCAAATTTCTGACCTTCAGATTCCCAACTTTCATGTTTTTGTTAAGTTGATGTATCCATGGGAAGTCAAATTTCTGACCTTCAGATTCCCAATGTACTTTTCTCTTCAGTCTGTGTAAATATTTTATCTATAATGATACAGGTTATAGATGCAAGGGATCCACAAGGCACAAGATGTTACCATTTAGAGAAGCATTTGAAAGAAAATTGCAAGCACAAACACTTGGTGCTTTTATTGAACAAGGTTACAATTTTTTTTTTTTTTTGCTTTTGTTTTAAATGTTGCCTAGTACCATAACTTTGTATCATAATTCCATCATAAATCATTTCAAATCCCCATTTTTCTTCAGTGTGATCTAATTCCCGCCTGGGCAACAAAAGGATGGCTTAGAACTTTGTCAAGAGAATACCCAACTCTAGCGTTCCATGCAAGCATTAACAAGTCCTTTGGAAAGGTATACTTGTGACTAAATCTTATTTGATTTGTTTGCCAATTTCCTGCTATGTGTTAATCCATCAATAAAAAAAGACTAGTGAAGTTGGAGATTATATGTTTCCTCAGCAATTTGTTATCTTTTAGCCTCAACATATCTTTCTTTCCTCTCCTTTAACTCATGTATCTTCAGCTACTTGCTATTTTTTCATTGGTCTTTATCATGTGTAGGGTTCACTTCTATCGGTTCTAAGACAATTTGCAAGATTGAAAAGCGATAAGCAAGCAATATCTGTTGGTTTCGTTGGATATCCAAATGTTGGGAAGTCATCGGTGATCAATACATTGCGTACAAAGAATGTAATCCTTCTTTCTCATTTTGCGTTTCTTATTTCCTGCTTAAGCTGTTCTTAGTGAGAAGATTAATTAAAGCATAGAAGTATCCATGTAATTTTTCAACTTTGGAATGATAAGCATTTTAGCTCTCTGATTGACATGTGACTACTTAATGTGTCACAGGTTTGCAAGGTTGCTCCAATTCCAGGGGAAACCAAAGTCTGGCAGTATATAACCCTTACCAAGAGGATCTTTTTGATTGATTGTCCCGGTGTTGTCTACCACAACAAGGACACTGAAACAGATGTTGTGCTGAAGGGCGTGGTAAGTTTTCTCGTATTTATTTTCACTTTGGTTGCATAATACTTTGCTAAAGAATGTTTTAATCAATCTTCAAATTTTGCCAATGTTAATTGAAAGAGCACAGTGACTTTGCTTGATTCATATAGGTCACTTCTTATAGGGGAAGGGATTTTTAGTACATTTCTTTTAATCTTCCAAATACTATAAAAAGAATGTGTATCTGAAGTATATTTGAAGGAAGGAAATCTTTTCTCCCTTTCCAGAACCACTGCTTTTGTTTTGAAAGAAAGTTAAACAATCATGCCATGCTTTTCCTTTATTCTTTAAGAGACATGTTTTATATCAATCCACCTGGTATAATTCTGTTTAGATATCCTAAGTTTTGTTGGGTTGTGATATATTATTCTCACCCCTCGGAATATTCTACGTCTATATTGTTTTAATGTTGTGTTGAGTAATATCATAATTGTCAGCACATACTTGTTTCGTTGCCCAATGAATAATTTATACTCTTGCTTACTAACAATAGAAGCTCTTGTGTAATTCAGTCTGCATGTGATAGAGCTTTATACCCTGTTAGCCTTTCTAGAGTTTATATGTAGAATGAAACTTTTAAGAAATATTTGGGGTCCTGACAACATGTCTGTTAGATGTTTTATTGTTATTTATAATAATCTGGCTGTCCTTGACAGAACATTATGGTGGCGAATGTTGATCCATGTCGCCAGCCCCACTAGTGGGATAAGGCTTAGTTATAATAATCTGGCTGAATACTTGATTTATTTCCAGGTACGTGTAACAAACTTGAAAGATGCTGCTGACCATATAGGTGAGGTTTTGAAACGTGTGAAGAAGGAGCACTTGACAAGAGCTTATAAAATAAAAGAGTGGTATGGTTCATTGTCTACTAACTTGGTAAATGGTAGATTTTCATTAAGTGTGTCCGCCTTTGGTATTCTTGTGTTTGCTGGGGACAGCCAACTTTTTGAAAGTTTGTTTGCTTTTTGATAGCTTTTTGTAAGATTATGTTTTGCTCTGCCTGTAGTTTTAGCATCCTCTGAGGAATTATTTACAACCAGGTGGTGGTGGCATGATTTTTCTTGATGCGACCACTACATGCCATTTTATATTCACCTTGATTTACTCATCTGTGTTTTATTATAGCTTGTCAGCTCGTATACAAAAACTAGGTATTTGATAATTCCTATTACCTGTCCTCAGGGTTGATGAAAATGACTTCCTACTTCAGCTCTGCAAGTCATCTGGCAAACTTCTAAAGGTATTCTATTTGAATTGATCTGAGGCTGATCATAACCTCTAGCTCTTCTCAATTTGACCTTTAGACTAGATATGCCCTCTGTCATGGAACTTAAGTAACACATGTTTCTTCTTTTGATCCTGCCTGCATTATAGAATAAAAATTACTAGTTTTCCCCTTTATGCGTAAACATGTTAAACCGGTTCGTTTATTTATTCGTCCAATTTGTTTTTCTTCAAGTGTTTTTTTGCTTCGGTAAGACGCGATGATAGACTTTGGTGTGACTTTTACTCGCTGTCTTTCCCAGGGTGGTGAACCTGACCTGATGACTGCAGCGAAGATGATACTTCATGACTGGCAGAGGGGTAAAATTCCCTTTTTTGTTCCTCCTCCTAGGCTGAATGACGTGTCCGAGGCAGAGGAGCCTAATGTTAATGGCATTGATGTTGACGAGACAGTTGACCCTAACCAGGCATCTGCTGCCATTAAAGCTATTGCAAGTGTTCTTTCATCTCAGCAGCAAAGAAATGTACCGGTTCAAGGGGATTTATATACTGAGAATGAGATGAAGGGAGAAACTGCTGACCAACTTCCATACACAGCAGATGATACAGATGAAGATAGTGACTCATCTGAGCAGGATCCATCCACTGAGGTTCCATCTGAGCAGCTTGTTTCTGACGAGACAGTACCAACAAGTGAATCATGAGTTTTGGTTGCAGGTTTAGCTGTTAGGGAAGAGAAAAAGCTCCATTTCCGCCGCATCTTTAACAAAGCCCAGCTCCATTGCAAGGACTTCATGTGTTTCACATACAACTGTCAAATGCTCAACTTTGCATTTGAGAAATCTGTTCTGGTAACACAAATGAAGTTTCAGTGATGTTTATCAACTGATCTTTGGATGCAGAGTAGATTTTGATTTCTTGAGCATAGTTTTAGTGATATAGTTTTGTCAATGATGGATACTTTGTTCTATTTATTTGTAATATTTACTATTCTAAGTTATTTTGCTATCTATATTATGAGACCTAAGAGAAATTTGAATTTACAACTTCTATAGCAATATATGCTTGTCTTAAATCCTAAAATTTTAAGCTAAATAATTTTGCTAAACACCCTAATTTTTAGTGCATGGACTTTGGATGGTGTAAATTTATTTTAAGGTTGGCGTTTGATTTTGTAAAAGACTAAAAAAATGTTATACGTTAAATTGAAATACTGCATTTGATGCGAAATATAGAGAAGAGTTTTACTACGACTGTATGGACATTGTAAAGTGTACTAATTGAATTGTCTATGTTATAAACATTCTGAGAAAATTTTAGAGAATTTCTCTTTTCATTCTATAGTGAAAGAACAAAAATCTTACAAAATTTTAAAAATACTCCTAAAAATTAAAAATATGTTTTTGAGATTCGCTCAATTTCAGAAAGTGTTTAAGAAATTCTCGGAAATGCACTTCCAATTAAGTGACTCGGCTAACATGACTCGTCGTATTGTATGTCCCTAATAAGTCTTTTAGTACCTTTGTAGTTATACCAAATTACATAGCATAGCATGTTAGACAAAAATATAGAAAATCAAAATGGACTAATAAGTCTTTTAGTATCTTTGTAGTTATATCAAATTACATAGCATGTAAGACAAGTATAGAAAATCAAAATGGATATACCGGAAACATTTGATTTTTTTTAGTAGAACCAAAACATAATAAAAAGAATCAAGCAGATACATATATCCATTTTGATTTTCTATACTTTTATCTTACATGCTATTTCTTACATTTATAAATAGATGTTCATCGACAACAGATAGTTAATTGGAGAGATGACATTTAAAGACATATTCGCTTCACATGTCATTTAGTGAGACGACTATTACACTGGAAAATGTCTCTTGTCTGCTTCACCTACCGATCAAGGGCGTGTTATGGACCCCCCCTCGAGATGTATCTGAAGAAGCTGTTGTTGAGATTGTTGTTGATTACTTGGGAGCGCCTGTAGCTGCAAAAATTTGAGACAAAGCCATTAATTAACTTAACTAAAATAGTGAAAGTCGCCACCACACTTTATTGTTTCCAAAAGGAAATGAGAAAAGAGCGAATAAAATCTAAAATGAAATAGAGATCAAGGTACAAAGGATGATTATACAAAGAGGATGATTATACAAAGGAAAGATATTAACACCCTAAACATCTACGGTACTCCACAAAATTTACTTTGTTTGTTTTAATCAAAGAGTGTGTTATCTAAAACTTGAACTTACTAGAGAAAATGCATGAAATAATTAGAAAAGAAAAATGTTTTTGAATTTTTTATTATTTCGTTCGCCTCGATTTTACAACCTCGTGCCTACGTATCCCGAAAGAATCAGAGCACCGTAGTTCTTCCAAAAAAGAACTGAAAATTATGTGCATTGATTGATTTTAACTAAAGAGACAAATAGTCATTTTTAGGAGGAAGACTCGCCTAATCGGTCACAAAGTATGAAAAAGAGTGACAATGCACTAACATGAGGAAGGGTTTGGACACACCTCTAGTACTCAAGTGGAAATGTCAGCATCTTTACAACCATGGGGATAGGAGAATGACATCTCGATCATAAATGACTCACATCTAATCTTGAAAAATATTTTAAAGGGAAAAGGTGCACGAAGGCACAAAAAGGTTTGAATGGAGTTGAATGTTTTTTAGTCTTTTTGAAAGTGTTAGAATATGCTTATGTGGTTTAGCATTTATTAAAGAAAATAAGTTTGAAAAGTCACTTGACAAGTCAAAGTTTATTATGAAAGTGGTCAAGTTTATTGAAAATAAGAAGGTTTTGAAAAAGATGAGAAGGTTTTGAAAATTGAAGAACGGGAAGAGATGAAGAAACTAATCTAGAAATATAAGGTAAAATCTAAGGCAAGGAAGGTCTGACCAAACAAGAAGTCAATACTTGACATAATGAAGTCAACGCAAATTTTCCATCATTTAGATTAAAGCCACAAGCAAAGAATAAATCAAGAGTGTAACATGCATTAGGTGAAAATAAATCACAAACAGAAAGTGCATCAGATAAGCCCAAGGTGTCGGATAAAGCTCAAAACATCATATGATCATCAAGATATCGAATAAGAATCACTGCATCAGATGAAACTTCCAACAAACAGACAAAGTCATGATAACAGAGAAATAATCTGAAGATCTCATATGGAATAAGAACTCAAACTAAAGTGGATTAGAACCATATATCAAAGATGAATGAACAAATGATATATGAAAAAAATATTTAAGCAATTAATCAAGAGTTGATTAACTTAATTAATTAGATTAAGAAAAATTAATTAGTAAGACTAATTAATATTTAATAACGAAATCAACTAACTAAATCAATATTTGATTAATCATTTAAAAACAATAAAGTGTGCAAAGAGGAAGTGAGCACTTGAGCCGTCTTTGAAACCTTAACAAACCATAAACAAGGTTAGTAATCACAAGAGGAATTAAAAATAGAACCAAATAAAACTTGCAACAATTTACATGTATTAGTAATCCAATTTCCTAATTAAAACCACCATACATGCATAACCAAGCAAGGACATGAATTGAAATCACAATTAACACCAATTTGTGCATTAAAAAAGAAGTGATAAAAGATGTGAAGCAACCAAGCATTTATGATAACTCCTAAGTTTCACAACACATTTTAACCACATTATAAGCTCAATTCCTTATTCTAAATTTTAACCACATTATAACCACATTTTAACCAAGTGAACAGTGGCAGTGATAGTGAGAATTTCACGCGGAGAGTGAAGGTGGTTGCGGAGGTTTGATGGTGGGTGATGGGTTGTTGGCCGGAGATTGCAAGTGGGTCTGCGTGTTGAAAGCAGAAGATGCACAGGGAGGGAGTATGCGAAGTAGTATGTGTCGATGGTTGAAGAAGTTGGTAAAAATGAGGGTAGCGTGAAGCTGGTTGAATGGAGGTGGAGCGCTGTTCGTGTGACAGAAGATGGAGATGAAATTTGGGGTGTGGAGCAGAAGAGAAGAAGGGATTTACGGTGAGAGAGAGAGAGAGAGAGTTGATAGAATTTGTTCTGAGTTTTTCGTATGATATGCTATGCCTACCCCCATCAATTCTCAATACTCTTATCTCTTATACATCACAAATTAGGGTTTCTCAATTTTTATAATGACCAAAGTACCCTCTGGAATATAATTAACCAACAAATCTAAAGAATAAAAATTAACACACTCAAAACTATTTTTGTTTCAATGTTTCAAAATAAAAAAAAGACACTTAAAATAATCAAAAATGATAAAATACAGACACTAAATTAATTGAAAAAAGAAAATGAATACATTATACAAAACTACAGATCACAAAGGTTAATAAAAAATATTTCGAATGGTTACAATCAAAATAAAATAAGATTAAGAATATTAGGTTGAACAGATGCTGACAGTTAAAAAAGAGACTGCAAAGTGTACCGAAAAAATAAAGTGAGCGTACCGACATGATCTACGTGAAACATAGATTCATAAAACAGTCAGATAAAGGTAAAAACTTGAAATATTTTCTCGTTAATTTTCTGCACAATGTCGAATCGCTTTTAACAATATGTCTGTAAAACCAAAATATCAATATTATCAACATATAAACAACTTGACGCAATGCATGAAGCGGTTCAAAGAGATAAAAATACATGAAGTGAGATAATGAGTATTTTTTAACTATAAAACAATGTAAATATCGATTTAAATGGACTTTTGGTCAACTCAAATACGACTAGTGATGCGAATGTGATGAATGAATGATCATGAGAAAAAATTGGGGTATGCTAGCTGCCCCTATTTAATTATCCTTGATTAGATAACATCATAGTGGAAGGTAATTAAATACAGAAAGACCTAAGTTTTGTCCTTTGGGTAACACTGAAATGCAATGTAATGCATTAACTCTTTTTTGACATATTTTTTTGTATATGATATGATATGAATGCATAAGAGAAGACACTATGTGTAGAAACTTGAAACAAGAGATTTATGATAGATTGAAAGAAATGACATGGAAAGACACGCTAGAGAACATAAGCTATTTTTGGATATTCGTCAAGGTGACAAGAAGTATCTATCAATACTTAAAAATACGGAGACAACACCCTGAAAATGCAAGTAGTGAAATCCAATAATGGTATTATATAGAAACTACAAACAAGATAAAGGTACGCCCAAAAGATGTCTAAGAATGATATTGAACTCTACTGGGGATAAGACATCTAATTACTAGCTTTTGATGGAAAGACAAAATCATGGTATCCAATTACTGGCTTTGGATGACAGGAAGAAAGATCACGATACCCAATTACTGGCTTTGGATAAAGAGAAAAAGAATTATGACATCCAGTTACTGGCTTTGGATGAAAGAATCACAACATCTAATTACTGGTTTTAGATGGAGGAAGAAGAATATGACTTCCAATTACTGGCTTTGGATAAAGAGAAAAAGAATTATGACATCCAATTACTGGCTTTGGATGAAAGAATCACAACATCTAATTACTGGCTTTAGATGAAGGGAAAAAGAAATATGACACTCAATGAATGGCTTTGGACGAAAAAGACCATGTCATTCAATTACTGGCTTTGAATGAAGGAAGACCACGACATCCAATTACTGGCTTTGGATGAAGGGAAAAGGAATTATGACACCTAATTAATGGCTTTGGATGAGAAAGACTGTGTCATTCAATTACTGACTTTGAATGAATGAAAACCACGACATCTAGTTACTGACTTTAGATGAAGGGAAATGAATTATGACATCTGTTGGCTGGGATTTTTATAAAGAGAGAAATCCAAACCAAAAGTTAAAAAGGGTCTTTTAAGAACATTAAATTATGAGGAGTCGACTATCAAAGCATGTCGACCATGGTTGATTTCACAGGCAGGCGACCAAGGTTTTGTAAGCGCAGTCGACCATAGAAAAGTTCATGGTGAATGGATTGAGCCCGGAGAGGTGAGAAGTCCAAAAGAGTTAAAAGGCCCATAAGCGCCTAAACTGTAAAGGCAAAACATTATGGAGGAAGAACATTGGTTTTACCATAATGGAGAACATGGATTCACAAAGAGAAGTTACAATAGAGAACATGGATTCGTGAGGGAAAGTTACGAAGAAAACGTGGCATGCAAGGAAACGAAGCTCACTTAGAAAGTAGTTATTTATGTGTATTATAAATACAACACTTAGTGCATTTTTGTAAGAGGTCAAACTTTTCACATTCCTGCATGCTAGTCACTCAAAGTAACCAAGCGAACGAGCAAAATGAGTCATGCAAAGACAATGTATGTTTGAACCAACCTATTTTACAACTATCTTTAATGTTATGTCATTATCTTTTACAACTTAAAATTCTTTTTCGTTTTCTTTACTTCGTCATTTCATCCTTATCTTTTGCAATTTAAATACGTTTGGCTGCCAGTCGAATGCACCCTTTTTGGAAACACTTTGACTATGCACGCGAGCTGAAGCACTGCTCCGAGATTCCCTGGTCGATCTCGCACGTAAACTTGTTTTCAAGGGACCAACTTTGTTTACCAAATCCACGGGTAAACAAATTGACACACCTGGTGAGACCGTGCTAATATTTTTGCATGTAGTTTCACAAAGTTCTTATAGTTAGCGTGTGTATGGATTTAAGGAGTGGTAAACTTTTGTCTAAGTCCAGAATGCCACACTCTGACACAAACACTACACACACACGCAAATTTCTACACAAAATATGGATGTTATACCAGTAATTACCACAACTCAAAGCGCGACAGTTTTATCTCCCGTAAGATCGACCGTAATTTCTGGTTCAGTGACGATAGTCACAATGACAGAACCTAGGCATGGGGTATCACCATTTGACCCAAATCGACCACTCTTTTCAGAGGGTCCAGGGTCATTATTTGTCCCTCACCAATATGGTATGCCTTATTCCATGATGGTTGGGTTACAGTCAAATCCCGCCACATATACAACAAATACAGTTGCCATTAGAAACTAAGGCAGTTATGCCTCAAGTGGTCGACTAGGTGGTGTTAGTTGTGTCCCACAGTCGATGCCATATTTGAATACTACATCCATTATGGCTTTAAGGAAACAGATGGATGAAAGTAATTTAGAGTTAGTAAATGTCTTAACCCAACAAATGGGAGTCGCCCTAAACCCTGTAGTTGACCAAATAGGTAGATTGATTGACTAATTAGGGGTCCAACCAACCCAAACTAAGACGCGCCACATGTCGTTGAGGGTTTTTGAAGAACTAGAGAAGGGAAACAATGAGCATCCTTTTAGGCCTCAAAGAATGGAAACACCCACTTATGACGAGTGAGAATTTATTAACATTATGAACCTAGGCCGGTCATAGTTAGAAGAAACCAAGATGCTGATCGAGTGTTAAGAAATGCCACTGTTGGACGTAACAACATAGTGAATGTGGTAGAAGAAGTATTAACACGATCCATAGTAAATGTTAGCCTCCGGAGGCCCAATTACTCTTCACCCTTTCCTGATTACATTCGACAGGCAGAATTACCTAGAATATGTAAGGTGCCTAAGTTTACCAAGTTTGCTGGTGAGGCTAATGAGTCAAACATTAAACACGTTGCTAGGTACAAAATAGAAGCTGGCGATATCGCCAACGATGAGGGCTTAAAGTTAAGATATTTTCCTAATTCTTTGACAAAGAATGCTTTTACTTGGTTTACAATGTTAACTCCAAACTTCATACGTACTTGGGAACAACTTGATGGGATATTTCATGAACAATTTTATGTTGGTAAGCCTAAGATAAGTTTGAAAGAATTATCCTCCATCAAGAGAAGGTCGTCTGAGTCAATGGAAATGTATTTGAATAGGTTTAGGGTCCTAAAATCTAGATGTTTTACTAGGGTTCCTGAACATGAGCTGGTCAAAATGACCGCTGGGGGGTTAGATTATTCTATTAGGAAAAAGTTTGATCCTCAAACTATTACGCATATGTCTCAACTAGCTGATAAGGTTTAATATGTCAAACATTTGAAAACAGAGAAAGCTAGAGTGTCAAAGGACCATAGAAAAGGAAAAATTTCCTATGTAGACACATAATTATTCCAGAGTCTGAGGAAGAATACATGGAATAGGGGCAGCTGTCATACCCCAAATTTGCCCTACCCTAATCTAGGGTTTTCTTCAAATAAATTTCATTATTTAGTTTTCACTTTTATAGGGGTATTTAAAGTCAAAGGGGTGTGTTGATGTAAAATAGACCATCAATATCTGATGGTCTATTAGGTCTTAAAATTTGTTTCAAGTTTAAAAGAGAAGTGTATTGTTTTAATCAAGGAGGTGTGAACAAATTCGTTTTTAATAAGGCCCATTATCTTTTTTTTTGTAAGGCATGCTTCAAGTTTAAAAGAGGGCTCGAATTTGTTTTGGTCAGGGGCCCATTGAAATCTCTTTTTTTTTTGTACAAAAAACAATTCCATTCCTTTTTTTTAGGCCCGATAGCAAGGCCCTTACGGTTTTCTATTTTTTTTTAATATTACATTATTATTAAGCATTATTATTCTTGCTATATTTACTTTTATTAATTATCATTATTTTTTTCTTCATAATTGATTATTATTAGTATTATTATTTTAGCATTAACATTATTATTACTATTATTTTTTCTTACTATTATCAACTTTACTACTTTAAAATTAAAACGTGATATTACAAAAAAACTTAATTAAAAAAAAGTGTTGTTTATGTCTTAATAAATTAAAGTGTTGATCTTGTCCTCCGTCCATTTTCAAACCCGGAATTCAGGCCTAAACATTGTTGGCCCAATAAAAGCAAAAACGAAGCGTATGGCCCAATTCTACTAACAGGTACTGTAGAGATTTTTTTTTGCGCGTGGAGAAAAGAAGACTTGTTCATGAACGAAAATCAAGAGCAATAATTGCAGAAAACATTATATCAATAAATATGGAATTTCTTTAATATAAATCAAGCAGTGTCCTTAATTTACAGATCAAAATTCAAATTCTTTCCTAATTCAAGAACCTGTTAAATTACATTCAAATAGCTTGCTAAAACTAGAATTCCTAATTAAAAACCC